AACTAACTAACTAACTAACTAACTAACTAACTAACTAACTAACTAACCAACTAACTAACTAACTAACTAAATTGGCCAGCATGGTGGCATGTGCCTGTCTGAGGCAGGACTATTAGAAATTTGAAGCCATTCTGGGCTAAAGTGTGAGAGCCTATCTCAGGAGAATTTTTAGAAATTATTTTCTTGCTGTTCTACATGTGCTTTCTGATCCCCAAAGTACGACTTACTTCAATTTTTTTTTTGAAAGAAAATCTATTTTATGTGCAATAAGTTGGGAGCATGCTCACTGAGGTCAGAGGAAGCCGGGAAGAGTTAAATGCTTTTCCTGTCATGCTGGTTCTGGGAATTGAACTTAGGTCATCAGGTTTGATGGCAAGCACCTTTACATGCAAAGACAACTAACTCATCAGCCTGCTAATATTTCCTTTAATATCACTATGTGAGTGTGTATGTGTGTATGATGTGTCTACATGAGTTCAGGTTTGGGTGTGTCACAGTGCATGCATGAAGGACAAAAGACAACTCGTAGAATAGATTTTCTTTACCTTTACATGGGTTCTGATAATCACACTCAGGTGGCCAAGCTTGCATGACAGGCACTTGTACCCATGGAGCAACCCCACTGTTAACATTATTGATGTTTTCTATTATTTTTTTAACCTTTGTACATTTTTTTCTTTTAAAACTTTTTAACTTGTTTGGTTTTTTTGAGTCTGATGTAGCCAAGACACACAAAAAGCATGGGATGACTTTAAACTCTAATCCTCCCACCTCTACATTCTATGTAGTGGGGTTTTTACCATGCACCACTGCTCTTAGTTGTATTTTACCTTCTTTTTTTTTAAATTTAAGAAGCACTCTTATTAGGAAACAAGTCACACAATTCAACCATAAACTTTCAATAATACAAAAGCAGGGTATTTTTTTTAAGAAAATTTTATTTATAACAATTTATTCACTTTGTATCCTAGCTATAGCCCCCTCCCTCGCTCCCTCTTCTCCTCCCATGCCCCTGCCCTAGTCCACTGATGGGGAGGCCCTCCTCCCCTTTCATCTGACCCTAGCCTATCAGATCTCATCAGGACTGGCTGCATTGTCTTCCTCTGTGGCCTGGTAAGCCTGCTCCTCCCACCCCCAGGAGGAAGTGATCAAAGAGCAGGCCAATCAGTTCATGTCAGAGACAGTCCCTGTTCCCCTTACTAGGGTACCCACTTGGATACTGAACTGCCATGGGCTACATCTGAGCAGGGGTTCTAGGTTATCTCCATGCATGGTCCTTGGTTGGAGCATCAGTCTCAGAAAAGACCACTAGACCCAGATATTTTGGTTCTGTTGCTCTCCTTGTGGAGCTCCTGTTCCCTCCAGGTCTTTCTGTCTCCCACTTCTTTCTTAAGATTCCCTGCACAATGCCCAAAGTTTGGCCATAAATCTCATCATCTACTTGAATATCCTCCTTGGCAAAGTCTTTTTATAATTAATATACAATATGTTATAAAAAGTTTATCTTGGCATAGTATTCTCTGATATGGCTATAATAAAATATATTTGGAATTTACCAATTGCTGTATATCTAGGCTATCTGTCATTTTGTTATTTTAGAAACAGCAGTTTGATAACCTTTTTGTGCTAAATTGCAAAGTTAGGATACAGATAACTTTCCCAACAATATATATATACTTACTCATATAGACATATAGTATAGGATAAACTTTCTACAATCTGTAGAAAAAAAAAAACTAAAAAGAAACTAATCAAGAGGGAGGACTCTGACTAAAATGCTCAATCCCCATCCCAAAAGGCAAAGAGGATGGACATCAGAAGAAGAAAACAGGAAACAAGTTAGGAACCTGACATGGAGGGCCTCTGAAAGGCTCTGCCCTGCAGACTATCAAAGCAGATGCTGAGACTTATGGCCAACTGTTGGGCAGAGTGCATGGAATCTTATGTAAGAAGTGGGAAACAGTAAAATCTGGAGAAGACAGGAACTCCAAAGGAGAGCAACAGACCCAGACAATTTGAACACAGGGGTCTTTCCAGAGACTCATACTCCAACCAAGTACCATGCATGGAGATAACCTAGAACCCCTGCACAGATGTAGCCCATGGCAGTTCAGTTTCCAAGTGGGTTCCATAGTAATGGGAAGAGGGACCGCCTCTGATGTGAACTGATTGGCCTGCTCTTTGATCACCTCCTCCTGAGGGGGGAGCAGCCTTACCAGGCCACAGAGGAAGACGATGCAGCCACTCCTGATGAGATTTGATAAACTATGATCAGAAGGAAGGAAAGGAGGACCTCCCCTATCAGTGGACTTGGGGAGGGGCATGCGTGGGAAGGGGAGGGAACGTGGGATTAGGAGGGGAGGAGGGAAGGGTTTATGGGGAAATACAAAGTGAATAAAGAGTAACTAATAAAAGTTAAAAATAAATAAATAAATAAATAAATAGAAAAAAGCACTCTTTTTAGGAAACAAGTCACACAATTCAACCATAAACTTTCAATAAACAAAAAGAAGAGTATTTTTTAAATTATTTATAACAGTTTATTCACTTTGTATCCTAGCTACAGACCCCTCCCTCCCTCTTCTCCTCCCATGCCCCTTGACTAGTCCACTGACGAGACCCTCCTCCCCTTTCATCTGATCCTAGTCTATCAGATCTCATCAGGACTGGCTGCATTGTCTTCCTCTGTGGCCTGGTAAGCTTGCTCCTCCCGCCCCCAGGGGGAGGTGATCAAAGAGCCAGCCACTGAGTTCATGTCAGAGACAGCCCCTGTTCCCTTTACTAGGGTACCCACTTGAACACTGAGCTGCCATAGGCTACATCTGAGCAGGGGTTCTAGGTTATCTCCATGCAAGGTCCTTGGTTGGAGCATCAGTCTCAGAAAAGACCCCTAGGCCCAGATATATTGGTTCTATTGCTCTACTTGTGGAGCTCCTGTTCCCTCCAGGTCTTTCCATCCCCCAACTTCTTTCATAAGATTCCCTGCACAATGCCCAAAGTCCGACTATGAGACTCAGCATCTGCTTTAATACCCTCCTTGGTAAAGTCTTCTTATAATTAATATACTTTTTATAATTAATATACAATATGGGGTTTTCCCTGTTATGAAAACGTAATCTTGGCATAGTATTCTCTGATATGGCTATAATAAAGTATATTTGGCCATTTACCAATTGCTGTATATAGGCTATCTTTCATTTTGTTATTTTAGAAACAGTACTTTGATAAATTTCTTGTGCCAAATTGCAAAGTTTTGAGGTCATATATTATGCTTCTATAATATCTAGCACACGAAATGGCTTACTGTTAACAAATAATTATTTCTTTTCATTTTGAAATTTGTTTTTTTCAAGTAAAATATCCTTTTATATATACATATGATATTTTTCTTTATTTAACATGCTGAGTTTTAAAAAATTCTTATTGGTTCTTTGTGAATTTCACATCATGCACCCCAATCCCACTCATCTTCCCCTCCCCTCATACCTACCCTCCTATCTTGCAACCTTCCCCCAACAGAGAAAAAGATCGCCTTGTGGAAGCTGTAGTGTGTCACAATGTGTCCCACAGAACACCCTTTTGCTCACACAGTTTTGCTCGCAAATGTTCACTGCAATGACTTCTTGGACTGGTACAAGGCCTCTGGCTTCTGCTACTCTATCAACGCTGGAACTCCTTTCAGATACCATGTTGTTGCTCTGTGTCATGGAGATCCTGTAGTTTTGGATCTGTTGGACTGGCCCCTTGGTGGGGGCCAATTCAAGCCCTGTTTCTGGGCCTGAGAGGTATTTGAGCTAGTCAGCCTTCCATCTCTCCTCCTCTCACATGCTCAGGGCCAGCTCACAGGCAACCCCTACAACTAGGGCCAGCTTGACCCTGCTTTCCAGGCAAGGTGCAGGGCCTGCTCTCCCATGTGTTGTTCCTGATGAGGGCCATGGCCGGGTCTCGCAAACATTAACCTCTTGAAGCAGAATGAGTGGGTCAAAGTATATGGGCAGTTTTTGAGATACACAGCTAAGCTTCTTTTTAATGGCTATTATACTAATACAACATATCAGTAGCAGTATATGGCAGTACACTTCTTACTACAAGGTATCTTAATTTTTCTCCCTTAATCAATCAATCAATCAATCAATCAATCAATCAATCAGTCAGTCTGTCCATCTGTCAGTCTGTCTGTCTGTCTATCTATCTATCTATCTATCTATCTATCTATCTATCTATCTATCTATTTTGTTTTTTCAAGACAGGGTTTCTCTGTAACCCTGTCCAGCCTGGAACTCACTCTGTAGACCAAGCTGGCCTTGAACTCAGAGATCCACCTGCCTATGCCTCCTGAGCTGGAATGAAAATCACGCATTATTCACTTGACTTAAACTGCCAAAAAGGTTAGATATTATCTCAATTATTTATTGGTTATCTGTATCTCCTCAATTATGAGGCCAACCTGACCTTGTCTTGGGAGTATGAAGCAGTTCTGGGTGGCTTCCCTGGAGAAATAACACCTAAACTGAGAAACCTAAAGGACAAGTAAAAGTTGACCAAGCAAGAAATACTCATTAAAGGGGAAAAAAGCAAATTTACAGTAAATGAAGCTAACAGACAACACGTTGATGAAGTGATCAAAGGCAGAATCGATGATAATGGGACCAATTTCTACCATGCATTTCCTGATGACAGATGAGGGGTACAGCAGTGCCGTTGCGGTGGTCCTCGTAAAAACACAGTGTGAATCATGAAGAAGTACTACACAAAATAAAAGTGCTAGTCTGTAGTCCATACAACACCTGGTCTACATTTGCACACCAAAAAGTGAAGGGGGCATGGAGTGGTGTGGGGAGCCTGGAGCTGGTGGCACACAGGTAATCCTCGAGAGGCAAAGGCAGAAGCATCAGTTCAAGGTTACCTCCAGCAGTGCAGGGAGTTCAAGGCCATCATGGTCTACGAGAGTTCTTGCCACAACAAACAAAAAAGTGAAGTGAGTATTACAGGTACAACGACACCAGTGGTAGAGTAGTAGGCACAAGACTCCAGCCGCAAGACCAAACTGAACCAATCAACCAAACCAAACAATTCTGTATTTTTCAAAAGTTCTAGGGTCATAAAAGTCAAGAATTATAAAGTATTGCTCTAGACTGGCTGAGCTTAAAAAAAAAGACATTATTATAAAATGTGACTTGTTACCTTGGTGTGCATACTGTGTCGCAAGGATTCTTTTAATTTTATTTATTTATTATGTATACAATGTGTCTGCATGTACACCTGCATACCAGAAGAGGGCACCAGAGCTCTTTACAGATGGTCGTGAGCCACCATGTGGTTGCTGGGAATTGAACTCAGGACCTCTGTAAGAGCATTCGGTGCTCTTAACCTCTGAGCCATCTCTCCAGCCCATGGACTTTTATTTTTTCATAAATGACATTACTGGGATAATTTTTAAAAACCGAATAGGTCCTGTGGTACATATAATCACTTAATACTGATTTTGATAATCATGCCACGGTTGCAAGAGTCCTTGAGGAAATGCACATGAAGTATTTGGTAGTATTAGTTCACTGTTTCCTGTAGTTTGTGTCTTTTCAACCAGCTCAGGAAAATAGTGTGTCTATGTGTGCAAGTGGGCATATACATGACTGTATACCCAGGAACAGGAAAAGATAAAACAAATATTAACAAAACCTGCATGAATGATGTATGGAATTTCCCCCTAACGTTTTTAAAATTTTTCTTTAGTTCAAAATGTTTTCAAAATAAAAAGGAAGAAGCAGAAGCTAGAACTCAGCAGTAGAACAGTTGCCTAGAACTTATTTGAGGTTTGCTGCATGTATCATAGTCTCACAATGTTTGCTGTTAAATCATTTTTTTATGTAATTACACCTGTTTGTCTTGTATTTCTAACATGTTTTGTTCTATATTAAATGAAACTACATTCCACACCATATTTTCTCATTATAGGTTGTGTCAAATGTATATCATAACTTCTTTATTCCATGTAACAGTTTTGCTTTGAATTGTGTTTTATTTCTTTTTGTTTTTTATGCTTTACTTTGCCCAGCTTGGTTTTAAACTTTCAGTATCATTATTATATAAGAAGTATATATTGTATTTACTTCTTTCTTTAAAAAAGGAACCTATATCTTTCTTGTTTAGTAGGAGTGTGGTTTAGCCATGCACATACAGCATAATAATCTTTGAACTTATTCCTGCTGTCCTTTTTGATACATACTTACTGTTTCTAGAGAAAATAAGAGCCAGCTGGATGAAAAGTCATAGCCAAGGGGAAAGGAGAGGATGATAAGGGAGGCAGAGGAGAGTAAGGGGGAGGAGGCCTCAGGGATGGCTATCTGCCACCAGGCTTGGTGGACTGGATGATTAAGGGAGAAAGAGCATATGCAATGGCCAAAATGGTGAATGTACTTTAAATTGTGTTGTTCTTTTAGGACATAGACACAGACTCATGACACAGAACCATTTGATATCAAATTTGTAACTTTCAAAAAAAGTTTTTTGTATTATGTATTCAGTACATTAAGAGTTTATCTATGACAAAGGTAACCCAAACTTCATTGACTCGACTTGATAAAAATAAGAAAGAAAATGTACCTTGGCCATTCCCACTGAACTCGCATTCAATTCTGAGATCCCTTGGTTGGTCTTGTCTCCACGCTCCCATATCCCAAAGTCCTGGTAGAAAATAATCAAGACATAAATCACAACCACTAAACGTTGACTAGATGTATAACCCTTGAATAAACAGCATTAATAGCAAATTTTCTCCATGCACGCTTGCACACTCATGCACACACCCTCCACACTGGCTATTTAGGAGCTGACGGAGACAAAATAAACTGGGCCTCTAAGAAGATGGGAGTCTCTTCAACACTTAGTTAAGAAGTCTAAGAAATAGAACTCAGACACTCTAGAAACACTTGTCAAGTTTTCCCCGAAGGAGAATCCTATAAAGTGTAACACATGGAGGCTAAAGAGCAGCTGGTATTTTATGTCAAACATGCATTCTAATCTTACTTTCTTGGTACTGAAAACGTACAATACACGCATTATTTTTGTTAGCCCTTATATTGTGCAGATAGTGAATCTGAGTTACAGAAAAGTACATAATTCACCCAAGGGCATATGCTTTCTAAGTGACAGAATCAAGAGTAGATTCTAAGGAATTTCACCCCAAAACCTACTCTTAGCCATAACTATAAACACCCCCTTGGTAATATAGACATATGTAAAATTACTTTTAATACCTTTCTATCTCTGAAATAACTTCATAATTACACAGAAACTGCAAAAATAGTACAATGAATCCCCTAATAACATTCACTTAGTTTTGCCCATGTTAACACTGAACATATCCACAGTGCAATTGTTAAAGCTAAAAATTCAACTCAACTTGAGTTAACTATGGGCTTCATGCCTCTTCCTCCCAAGAGTTGGGATTATAACTCACAGCCATGCCTGACTACTGGCTTTGTGCATGCCGAGATTCTATTTCATTCCTGCTATGTTTCCTTTGTAACTTCCAACAGAAATAGATTCTCAAATCTTGTCCCTTGTGACCTTGATTCTAAAAATTACTGAAAGCCAAACAGTTTGGTTAGAACTAGCTTTTTTTCATTTTACTTTTTTATTTTTAATTAGTAAATAGTTTGAGAGACAGTTCAGAAAAATAAGATAAAGATCATGCAAACAGCCTGGTTCTCCTTAAACAACCACCCACTGATTCTTAATTGTCTACAGCGAAAACTACAGTGCTCTTTTGATGATAATTTTTACTTTCCTTATTCATTTTTATTGTTTATGGTTTATTTTTGAGACAGTGTTTCTCCGTGTAGCCTCAGCTGTCCTGGAACTCACTCTGTGGACCAGGCTGGCCCAATACTACAGAGATCGGGCCTGCCTCTGCCTCACCCAGTGCTGGGATCACAGGTGTGCACCACCACGCCTGGAAGTTTATTACTTCTATGGTCACTAATTGTAATCCTTCTCCGAGGAAGGCAGTGCAATTTTTCTTTCTTTTTTTCAGTTGTTTGCTTATTGGTGTGTGCGTGTGGGTGTGTGGATCCACCAAGTCACATATAAAGACTAGGGTTAAATAGTAGGGGAGGGCTTCCCCTACCAGTGGAGTAGGGGAGGGGAATGGGGGTAAGAGGGAGGCTGGGTAGGACCGGGAGGAGATGAGGCAGGGGGCTACAACCAGAATACGAAGTGAATAAATTGTAAAATAATAACAATAAAGCAAATTTCTTTCCTAATTTAAAAAAAAAACAGAAAACAGAAATCATAAAGTCACAATGAAATGACACTTCAAGTTTTCAAAGACAATAATCACCAATCTGGATTACTATATCCAGCACAATGTTAATCTTATAGTATAAAGAAAAATTTTCTATGATAAACACTGAGTAATTCATAACTGCAAAAACAGATTACAGAATTTTGAAGGAATCCCATATATTGAAGAAAAAGATAAACACAGCCATGATGTTATAGGAAAGACTACATACCAGAACAGTAAATGAGCAAATGAGGATTAGGAAACTATGAGAAAAGATAGGAAGATATATATATATTTACATAACTCTCAATGTTACTGCCTCAGTGGTTTATGATTCTATGAACATTTGCATTAGATGATCAGAGATTCCGGGTAAAAAGTAATGATGGAATTTCAAAGTCTTAAAGAACAAAACAAAATTCAATATATGTGGAGAAATAATAGATATCAGGGAAGAAAACAATAAGATCAGAGAAGAAATTAATAAAATAGAAACAAAGACATTATAAATAATCAATGGAACAGTGAATTGCGTTAAAAAA